TATATACTATATATATATATATATATATATATATAAAACTTAAAGCATTTGTTTTCTCCAATTAACGTCGAACACGAACAATATATGAGTTCCTCTTCTCACAATATTTATCGAGATGAATTAATTTTCTTCGTCATCCGATTGATGATTTATATTGATGATTATCATTTTTTTTTTTTTTCCGCAGCGTGGTTCGGATGTAGGCACAGACAGGTGATACTCATGTGCCTGAGCTTCTTTTGCTGCTACGCCATCCGGGTGACGACGTCGGTGACTTTGGAGGCGATGACCAACGCGGCCAGTGCCAATCCCGATTTCGAAGTGCGTATCAATCAATAATACCGAGCCTTTTCCTTGATGAGATTCCAAAAGAGACGCGCACATCTTTCTTCTCTCCCAAAGGAATTCCGCTGGAGTATGCCGGTGAAGCAGTTGATTCTCAGCTCCTTCTTCTGGGGCTATACCTGCACGCAATTACCCGCCAGTATCATCGCCCAGCGCTGGACCGCCCAGGGATTACTTTCGATGACCCTGATCATCTCCGGATTGCTGACTCTCAGCATCCCCTTCGCCGCTCATTACGGCGACTGGCAGACGATGATCGCCGCGAGGGTAGTATGTGGCCTCGCCCAGGGTGCTCTTCTACCATGTCTGCACACTCTGCTATCTAGATGGTCGGCGCCTGAAGAACGTGGTAGATTTTGTGAGTGTGCATGCCTTTAATTGAACGCGAAGCAAATTTCATTTTCACACTTTGAGTGTGTAAGTATTATGTTATATCATAAATGAGAGAAAAGAGATTTTTGTCATTTTGTCTAGTCAACGAATTGACAATACTTAAATAAGATAAAATAAAAATTATAATTAACTAATAACGTTAAATTAAAATTATAATTAAATAAAAATATAAAAATTATATGTCAAGTAAATAATTTGCATCCATGTACATTCTCAGAAGCTTAAATGCTAAAATTTTAAAGTCAGAGTTTTTATTATCTTGTTTATTTTCCTTTGTTTCAGTAAGAAATGTTGCAATTTTCAGTTTTTTATTTTTATTATAACTTCAGCTTCTGATTTACGTATTCTTTCTTTTAAATTCAGTTGACACTCAATTGACTGTGTATCAAACATATTCATTTTTGTTTGACATTCGATCAACAGAAGTGCAATTTAATTAGCTGGTACGTCAAGTTTGACATAGATAGAAAAAATTCTTATCGCAGCTTAAGCGATGTCGAATTGATTAAGCACGTCAAGATTCTTATGCGGAAAGTTTTTTTGCGATTAATCTCGCAAGAAGAAATTGTTATAATATTTTAATTATTCGTTTAATTATTACTCGGCTCTTCTTTAATCTTTCTTCAAGAATCTTTAAAATGTTTTATCTTTCATATTGTCTCGCAAGTTTAATTATAATAAATATAATTAAGATTTATCAAAGGACAATAATTAAGATTTATCTAAAGAACAATAGCTTTCCGATAATTGATCTAATAATATTAGATTAGAATTTTAAAATGAAGAAGAATCGTGATTAATGTATTTCATATGTATTTCTCCAGCAACATTTGTTTATTCCGGCGGTTGGATCGGCAACGTAGTATGCTTGCTGAGTACCGGTTTTCTTGCGGCATCATCCATCGGTTGGCCTAGTTGTTTTTATATTTGGGGAGGTCTTGGTGTCCTTTGCGGCATTTGTTTCTTCCTGTTCGGAAAAGAATCACCCTCCGAACACCCCAGCATACCTTTCGACGAAAAGGAATATCTCGAAATTAGTTTGGGGGTAACTGAAGTCAATGAGGTAATGCAATTTATCAACTTAAAAAATGAAAAAAAAAAAATTAAATTTTTCGCGCCGAATGTAAAAATAAAAATCAAACATTTTGCTATTATTAATTTAAAATAATCGATTATATATCGATTATCGGTTTATTAAAAGGAAAATATTTAATATAGTAAAATTCATACAGAATTAAAAAAATAAAAAATTTTAGATTTAGAATAAGCTCTCGCTTCAGATTTTAGTTGCAAGGTTTTGAAAATGATGATTTAACAAAGATGATGATTTAACAATCAAGAATTTGAAAATGAAGCGCAATTTTGAAAATGAAACCTTTGTATTTTTTTCATATGTTATTCTCATTTCAGAAACCTTCTACTCCATGGAAATCCATACTGAGCAGCTTGCCGGTTTGGGTTTTATTATTGGTTCAATGCGCGCAAGCTTGGGGATTCTGGATGTTGCTGACGGAAATTCCATCTTATATGACTTCGATCATGCGTTTCGATATCAAGAAGGTAAGTCTCTTATCTCGTAAATAATTTTAGATAATATTTAATATTAGCCTTTATCTTTGTATCGTGTTACGCTTTCATAACATTTTAAAAACCTTGGAATTAACCGAATCGCATCACATGTTACGACTTTGAAAATTATACACGCCGTGTTTGGAATATTAATCAATTTTCTGATGCGTATGAAAAGATCACTATGAAAGACTGATTAATATGCCATGAAACTCGAATCAAACGTTCGATTAGTGAATCATGGATATCGTCGACATTAGACTACTTCAATGTCATATTGTCAATGACATCAATGAATTAATCAATAATAATTACGATTTCAATAAAAAAAATTGATGAAATATCAAAGTTGAAACATTTCTTGTAATATAGATTATTTCCCACGTATGATAGGTTTTCGATAAATCTTTTTAAATATAAACTTAATGTAGTATTTATAATATTAAAAAATGATCAATTGATATTGATCTCTTATATTTATATGAACGATTGAATATTAAAATTCAAATAAAACTTTAGAATCAAATTTAATTTAACTAAATTAATACTAATTAAAAAGTATAAATAATTAATCAATCAGTTTAAACGAAAAACATTTTATATCATTTCATTAAATTAATATTATTATTATTATTATTATTATTATTATTATTATTATTAATATTATTATTATTATTATTATTTTATTCAATTAATATTATGCATTCTTGTCAATTGCAGAATGGTTTGATGACCGCGTTGCCCTATTTGACGGCATGGATCGTCGGCTTTCCAGTCAGTCACATATCCGATCTGTGCATCAGGAGGAACATCGTGACAACAGAAACGTCTCGAAAGGTCTGTAATACAATTGGCCATTGGATCCCGGCGATCGCGCTGATCGGGCTGGGTTACGTGAGACAGGACCAGCCAGAACTAGCTGTGGGCATTCTCATCATCGCTGTGTCCAGCAACATTGCCGCTTATTGCGGTCACAACGTCAATCACATGGACCTTAGCCCGAATTTTGCCGGCCAACTCATGGGATTTACAAATACCATCGCATCTGCCTGTGCCATCCTTGCGCCACTGATCGCCGGGGTGATCATCACGGATTCGGTTCGTGATATTTAAATATTTCATATTTGTATTCTTATTTCCTGTAAGATAATCGTTTGCATTATTTGTTGCAATAAATCTAATTATTTAATTAGTTTCTTTCTTCTGTTTAGACCAATATATTACACTGGCGAAGAGTGTTCTTCCTGTCGGCCGGAATATACACAGTGGGCAATCTAATTTTCATCCTGTTTGGCACTAGCCAGGTACAAAAATGGAATGACCAAGTTAAAAGCAGAAAAAATAGCATCGTGCGAAAAATATCGATGGCACCGGTAAAAGTCGCGACGATACAGGAACAGAAGGAAGTTGAAAGGATTCCATGACAATCAAAATAGAGAAACATTAGATTATGTAATTCTTTTCTTTTTTTATATTTTATTTTTCAAATTGTGTTCATTGTGTGAATGTGTGACTTGTGTGGTAACTTTTGAATGATTTAGAATATCAATATCATCTCAAAGATATGTATAAAATATTAAAGCGTTTTGACTAGAAGCTGCATGTAAATATCACTTGTATATAAAATTTAGGCTGAATATATAGGATATGCTAGAACTAATTTTTTTTTATCTTCAGGAATGTAAAAATGGACAAATTAATCCCATTCTGTAATTAATTTTAAATGAGCGTTCTTATATCATCCTATAATCAATATCAAATAAACTTTGCGATTATAAAAATGTCATGTCTCTTCTCGACTTTTTTGACGACTTAAAATTTGGTTTAATTTAAATAAATTTATATCTCAAAAATGTACAAGACTGGTATCTCCTTAAATTCTTATATCAGAACAATTGATATATAAAAATGTAACCTAAAACATTCATTGATAAAAGATTGTTAATAGTATAAAACTATCTATATATTTAAATCTTAGCTAGTTCAGTCTTCTTTTGGATGACTTTGGTCCAACACATTGGTCCGAATAGCAAGTCCGATAAATACTGCACCAATAACAGTTGTCAGTAGAGTAGCGCAAGTGACAAAAAGTGAAAGAGATGAATCTCCAACTGGTATTGGCCATACATAGTTGCGATTGTTCAACATGTAATATGGAATTTCGCGCCACTTGGCCACTAGACCGACACATGGTTCACATAAATCTATCTTGGACACCCTATAATCCTTGATTCTCTCTCGGCATCCTAACAGCAGCTTGATCTCAGGTAAGGTTACATCGATGTAACCACCAGTCTTATGTGCATATCGATAACGTTGGTGAATAGGAATTGCTAAACTGGATGATGATGAATGTATGGATGCACAAATTGTCACATTCTGTTGACCAGCTTTTTCCGCAAACAACTCCACATCGGTTTCACCAACAGAGCATATTGTACTCTATAATAATAATTATTATTATAAGCCTGATAAATAGTACAATATATTTCGTCTTTATAAAATATAAACTAACAAAAATAATGTTTTTACTGATTATATAATGCGATAATTTCAAATGTATGCAATATATAAAATAAAAAAATTCATAAGACCCAAAATTGACTTATTTTAAGACTTATTTTACATTTTAATTCAATAATTAAGATATATACCATTCCACGTCTTCTCAATTCTGCTATTTCATCCGTATTGACGTACAACGCCGATGGTAATTCCATATAAATGGCAGCTTGACAGCCATCATACGTAAAGTTCTTGAAGTGCACACGATAAATCAATGTTCTACAAAAGAAAGAGAAATGTCAAGAACTGTATGTGGATTATTCATTGTTTACATACAACAATCTATAGTTTCTAACCTATGAAATCCATTTCCTTCCACGTCAAGATCAATCTCGGCCTCTATTCTCGCGTAAATTCGTACAATTTGTGTGCACAGGAGTAACGCAACAACAATTCGCGAAAAATTAATTTCGCTGATAAATACTGTCATTTTTGTAATTCCTAAATTCTCGCTAAACGCATATCCTCGATGTCAACGTATTCATGCGAGATTTACCGGCCGCTATTGGCTATATTCCAATATAAAGATACAATTTCATAGAACAAACGTAACCAGTTTTTACCCCCTCTTCATCGATTTTCGAACAGCTAGAGATCAAAGACGCCAATAAAGTATCATTCAAGACATTCAGTATCATCAAAGACCGATAATCTTACGAGAATTGCGTGATTACGCATAATTGTTCAAATTTTAAACAATTAGTCCATGATGTTATTGTTATATATTAATTTATTAGTCTATTATTCTAATATTTTATATATATAAACAATTCACTTTAATTTTATTTAAAGCTGCATTTTTATATTTGCTTGATTAACAACAAAGATAAAAGAAAAAATTTTAATTTTGCAATATATGATAGTATAACAGTACAAGTATACATACTTATTTATGAAGCATTTGTATCATAAATAAATGATCATAAATTTATATCAATAGTTGATAACGTCGATACTCTTCAATTATCTCAGAGTATGCTTCTTTGATAAGAGTCGTTTCTGTTTTTATTCTAGGCTGCATTAAAATTTTCTGTTTTCTTCTGAATCCTTTTTTATCGATAAAAATATCTCTAAAAGTGGCTTATAAATCTTCTGATTGGCTGTGAATCATCTTTAGAGGCATCTTTATCAATTAAAAGAAGATTTCAGAATATGGGTCTTTGTCTCGCTTTCGTCAAACTACAAATATATATACATTTACATTTTAAATGTAACAAGTGTACACTAGCAGTTCAGCTACAAACAACAAGTCAGTGGTCATGAAAATTTGTTCAGAATGGATTTTTAATCTCGTCTGGTAGCCGTGTTATCCGTCGAAAGTACTCGTAGATATGACTACATAGTTCAATGTGCACATTTTGTGCACGTAGAGGCGTTAGTGGACAAGTTCTAGCTAAAATGCGGGCACGACCGCTCTCAGGCCTCTCTCCGCTTATATCAAGTTGGATTTACGTGCGTAATTAATTTTCACCCGGCGATATCACGGCGAAGTGGTTCGATACTGATCAGCGACGTTGTCGCTCGCTGGGAGAATTTCCTTGCGATGTTCCGCTCGCGGACGTGCCGGCTGTCATTGCGCGTTTTCGCTTACGTCGTTGCTACCGTGTCGGTGTTGACAGTAATCGCGCATGCGCAGCGCGAAAGCCATCAGCCAGTTACGAGCGAGCCGCAAAAGAGCGGCGAATCCAAATCAAAACTCGATGAGGAGCTGTGTACGTGTCCCTCGAATTTAATTTTTCACTCCTTCGCGTCCAACTAGCTCTGTCTACTTAGTCATATTTTTTTACAAACTCGCTTCTCATTTGTTTCTTTCGAAGAAACGGAGCTGTGGAGGCTTGTTTCAATCTTGAAAGTGCGAAATAAAACATAGCTGAAGACGGAGCTATCGGATGCGCTTTTGCTACTTCATTTATTTGAATAAAAAAATGCCTTTTTTAACTTTGCATGTTTCTCGGTCTTTTCTTGCGACAGTCAAGAGATTATTCGCTCAACGACGGAAGGATCACATAGAAGCTGTGCAGACTCTTCTCAAGATGGATAGTTACGAGCGTCTATACAAAATGATTGCGGTGCTGGCTGAAAAAGTAGTGGAAGTTATTGAATCAAGCAAGAATATCATTGAAAAGGCTGGGTTTTTACCGTATAATAGTTCTTTTCCGGAAGATTCCAACGTCAAGGATGGTATGATTTTATCTAAATAAAATTTGTTGGGAATAGATTTTTATTGAGTGTCTATATAGATTTTGTCAATAAAATATAACAAAATAGAAATATAACAAAATCTATCAATAGAATATGGTGATAGATTTATTGCAGAAAAAAATATGCCATCTTATAATATTTTAATAGTAAATTTCATTTAAATGAACTAGAGTTTGCTTAGTTTTTGTTGACTGAATCTGAATTTGCTGGTAAACTAGCATATTGCTTGTACCTCATTGCTGAGATAATTATTTGCGTGTAGATATCTGAAATTATTTAGAATTATACCGTTAATTACAAGTTAATGATAATAGTAATTTTATGAGAAATAAATCATCCTTCTAAATTTCTTTTTTTTTTTACTTTATTGTATTTGTTGCAGCATTGTCTAGCATCCTGGAGAATACCGCGCTTTTCGGAGACATAATCCTGCATCTGCCAGATATCACTCACAGAATATTGAAGACGCAACAGGATTGGAACTCGACGATACATTGGTCCCTGAATTTCGCCAATCAGACGCGGCACTTGCTGAACAAATCGACCATCATGATGTTACATCTGGTCGAGCAGGAGTTGAATATTACGGAACGTGACCCGAGCTATTTTAATCCATATAGGAGCGCTGCCCATGGCGGCCGACACGAGGACATCGTGAAGAAGAAGAAGAAATCTGCGAGGAAAGAAAAACGCAAAAAGGGACCGCAGATCGCTAAAATCGAGTTGTGAGCCGTCTTAGCCGCCTGCGAGATTCCTCTGACCGGTTCCTAATCGCCTCATTAAGAAGCGGGCTCTCTATGGCTGCCGTTATAATCCTAGGAAAGATGGATATCATATCTCATTCTAAATACTAAAAGTTTGATCACAACGAGCTTCCAAACGGCTTAATTCGAGGATTAACTATATATTTGTCTATAATGTCTATATGATAGTATATAAAAATCTGATTACCAGGCGCTAATTAAGGATTATGTGCAATTTAGCGGGCACATTTATATTTAGTAATATTGTTATACGGATATTGCCATATACATATCGAGAGATTCTATCAATCTCTTTCTAGTATTAAATAAAATATTCCATTATTTATATATATATATATATACTTATTTACTATATTATACTTATTATAATTGCGTTTTTAGCTTGAGTGAAGATGACTGTACATAAAAATCAAATATTCTCTGATAGTTCTTCAGTTTGAATATTATATATCGTTGGTAATAATTGTAGAATTCATTTGACTCTCGGCGACGAGAGACCGCCGCGGAGAGCAGCGCCGATCCGTCCCTGTTTAAAAGACGCTCGCGAAACGAGCGGAGAGGCCTCGAAGGCAACTTGGCCCCCGCGAACGAGCCGTGAATCTTACGCTGCGGCGCTGTGTCGTGTCTGATATGAGAGACAGCTTTTCTCGTCGGTTTATCCCGACGATGGGCCGCCGCGCCGGTAGAAAGTGGTCAGCCAATGAGCTGAGAACGGTTCCTGAGCCGGCCAGTTCCCGTGAAGTGCCGCGCCGGCGGCGGCGACCGCGGTGTACCCTCGGCAGTGTCGCGACAGCGGATCAGCCCGGTGGATCGGTCGCTCGTCTCGGCTGATGATACGTCGCCGTGGTCGCGGTGATCGCACGAGCTGAACGCCGAGGCGCCGAGGTATACGCGAACGGAATCTGGACCGAACACCCGGACAGAACACACCCCCCCCCCCCCCAGGCACGCGCGCGGAACGATGAGGCTCCAGGAAGCGGCGCTGCTCTGCGCCGTCTTGACCGTCGTCGCAGGTAGGCGCGCCCTCGCGTTATTTCCGCTACGTCGATCACCTTTCTCTCCATCAATGTTCCTGTTCCGAAAGATCAGAGTGCGTAGCGTGGGTGGGTCGGAAAATAGGAGAAATGGTTTAAAATTCTCACCGGATTATGCGACATTTTTCCTTGCGGAATTTCCTCTCCATTCCTCGTAAATAAAAACTACGATGGAAACGTAGAGTTTCCCCGAGAGTTGCGAAATTGAATTTCGAGATTGAATTTTTATCGAGTTCCTAATCACCGTGTTCCTTTTGCCATTCACCTGCTGTGCCTCGATGTGTCATGTACTTTGATTTTTGTTGATTATTGCGGTAGATAATAATCGTTTTTCCAAAAGATTACGACATTCAAAGTTGAATTCTTCTAATGTCGAATTCCTAAAGCATGTATAGACTTGAGTCTGGTTTCTACTATCTTACTGTTCTTCGCAGATATATCTGACCAGTTCTAGCAGGTCGTCATTGACTTTAATTTTGTCTTTTTTTCCTCTGGGCCGACGATATCCTTCTCCTACGGAGTTCCTTTTCTTGATTTTCTCTTTGTGCTCCTCTTCGTGGCCGATATTTTTATCGATGGCGTTACATGCGAGCGAGGAATGTATGTAATTGTATAAATAGATCCAATAAATAGTTACATATTAAGTATAGCCCATTCTTCCATATTCTATATTTATATGTATTTTATCACAGAAATAAATTTGCTGAACGTATGAACGATTCTCTGATTGAATAATAATGAGGCATGATTTGCCGTTTGATTACTAATCGATTCGTAAATCATTTGCGACACATAAATCCCTTAAATATCTATAAAAATCCTTCATGAGCCTAGCGAGAAAGAAATGTTTCCGAATCAGTATTGCGGTAAAGCGAAAATACAGAAATCCGAGGGAGCGGGAGACGGCAGTGACGCGCCGACAAATTCGGTACGTCGGCGGGTTTCACCCGCGTTTACATAAGATTTGTTTCACGCGCATATGGCGTACCTGCGTGTAAGCGAGAGCGCACACACGTGTGCGGTCGCACGTGTGCGTGCATCCAGACGGTAGAAGGAAATGTTGCACCTGAGAGAACGAGGGAACACGCCGTATACGAGCGCAACGTCATTGCCAACGTGCGCTGGTGTATACCTTCACTTTCCACTTCACTTTACCGCTAAACGGATCTCTTTGACATCCGCGCGAATGCGAGCACCTCTCTCGACGAGTTACGAGCCGCAGCGTGTCCCATCCTCGCTCGTCTCGCGACCTATTCCGCCTGAAAGAGAAGAAGTAGAGATATTAGTCGAATTGAAGAAAGGCTCGCTCGCGAGCCTTGCGTCTCATCCTTCGAGAGGCAGATTAAATGGTAGAGAAAGGAATTTCAAAAGTTCATCTCGAACTACGCAGATTAGAAATTTGTAGTGTAGTGGTAGAACGAAATCCTGTTTCCTCCAAGTCACCTCTTTAGAATGCAGGCGTCCGTCACTGTATCAGGAAGCCCAGCGAAAGTGAGGTCGCCGAATCCCGCGACATTGCCGGGCTTTAATCGGCCAGCGATTGAATTACACTGTATCAGATGTTTTCACATCTGTAATTTCCGACTGATCTGTATATGCCGAGGAAACATTATATATTACCACATCCGCGGTTTACTTTGCGGACACACATAATTATCTTGCCTCATCGTTTAATTAAAACGAAGCCGTCGATTGGATCACACACGTGGCTGTTGAGAAACACGATCTCTCCACGAGATAATCGCAGAGAAGACCCAAGATCCTGAAGATATACGCCTGCGGCGTAATCTAATTTTGATTTAATTACAACATGAGCGAGAGAGGCGCGAAATAAAAATGCGCGAACGCGATTGTAAGGTCACCGGGAGGAATCTTCGCAGGCGCTACTTTCTCTCGCGAACGCGATGCTCACCATTTTTTAATACGATCCACGGATCTCCACGTCGATCGTGCAATTTCTCTCATTATACTCGCTTTGTACGTGCCGCTTCTGTCCTCGGCGCGGACATTATTAGCCCGAATTTCAATGTTAAGTTCACCAAGTGAACTTAAGCCAGCTTAACTGTATATTGCTAAGAGAAATGCGATGCGAGATATTTAAAGCAGCAAAACCTTGACTGCATTAGAGCTTCATTATGCAGACAATGTTAACTCAAGCGTATCCCGTCGCGAATGCGTGTTATGGTAGTTTCGCGAAAACTTGTGCAATTCTTGCGCATGCAGTCGCAGTGGCGCGTCTGGAATATAATCGGAGAACTCTTCCGGCACATGAAAATTCTTCACGCGTTCCGTATAAATCGATGCGTCCACGCTCGACTGGGCAGCTAAATAACGGTGCATCGCGGCGTGAGACCGACGATGTAACGAGAGTTTAAAAGTTTCTTACATCCACTCGGGGGGAATCCGGAGTTAACGTACCGAAGCTATTATTATTAACGCCCTGGCCATTTTACGCGTGTCACTGGCGGATTTAACATTCTACGACTATGGCTTTAATGCCCCGCGGAGATTTCTATCCGACGCAGTTTTTAAATTTCCGGCTTAAAAACGTGCAGAACGGATCTTAAAGTATGCTAATGCCTGGAAATTCGTTGTAGTACATGCTAATGCGATTCCGCCTCGTTCTTTTTAAACGCTTTTAACGCATTTACGTTTCACCGAAAGGAGCATAAACACACGTTCGTGCGCACTCACGTGTCCAAACCAATATATTGGAATGCCCACAATCGCGTTTCTCACTTTCTCAAGCTTCTCTTCTGGAATTTCTCCCGCCCATATTTTCTACACGCGTCCAAGACGCCTTCTGTGCGAAGTATCATCCTCGTCCTTGTCCTGTTGTTGTAACACAACAACGAATATTAGATCAGGGAATCGGCATAATTTTTCATCGAAGGACGTTCTGTTCTTAAGGTATTTTGCGTCGCACAGAAAATCAACTTTTGCTACATGACATTACCAGTTCGTCCATTCATTAAAGTCACCGCTTTGTCGTTGTCGGGCGTAATCATGCCGCTTGGTGCGTAACAACGCTTGACAGAAAGAACGCGGTAAAAGTGGAACGCATGGCACTTGATAGCCGACAGCTAGTCGGCCTCATTCGGAATACAAGAGCGTAAATACACTCGGACGTAAACGTGTTTCGAGTAAGCGATTCCCAACCTTGACATTTTCCTGGTTTAGCGGCTTTCGAGCATTCAATCATCTGAATCACGATCTCTTCCTAAAAAAAAAAAAAAGAAATATGGACTTTGTAATCAGAAGAAATAGAATGGTAAAGCAATTATCTTCGCAGATGAGCGATAAAGACGAAAAAAAAAAATTTGGATTCCCATACAGGATTACATAGTTACGAAACGATTCGTTACTTTCACGAGAGAATGGAAAAAAGAGAAAAAGAAATCCTTTCCCATATATTTATATACGTGCGAAGCGTATTCGTACGTATTTATTTATTGCGTATTCAATCAGAAAATCATTACCTCCTGTATCATATTTTTTCTTTATCTTCTTAGTACATTGTCAAAAGAACAAAAAGGATGAGGACAAGAAAGACGAGGAGTTCAGGTGTCCGGAAGGCCAGGGTAACGGTAATTTCGCCGATCCGGCAACCTGCAGGAGGTTTTATCAGGTAATTACGTTTCACACATTGCTTCGATTACTTTTATTATCAATCAACTTAATCATTTACCTCTGCTACGATCATTCGCTATTATATAGTCATATTTTTTTATTTTTGTTTTCCGAAAGTGCGTCGATGGATATCCCTACTTGAACCGATGTCCGTCGGGCTTGCATTTCGATGACATCAGCAAATTCTGTACTTTCAAAAACGAGGCGCGATGTGGACCTATCGAAGCTAGTAAGCACGTACTTTTATGTTATGTAGATTTTATGAAACGAATGAAATAAGATCCAAAGAAGAAATCTGCAGACTTTCAAAAAAACAATTTGTACAACAATTTAGTTTATTACTTTTAAGTCCGTCGCTTCTAATTTTCGTTTATTCGCCAAAGCATAATTATTTTTAATAAGATTTGTAGATACATAAATTTTGGAGTTGTCTTTTAATTTCCAGCACCGGCGCCTATTACCGAACCGCCGACAGATTTGGCCGAGCGGTGCGACACGGCAAACTGTCAGCTTCCGTACTGCTTTTGTTCCAGAGACGGCACGATCATTCCTGGCGGTCTTCATCCAGAAGAGGTAAAAACGATTATCTGCCTGGATTAACGATTAATCCTAATGATGATTTATCGATTTATTCGAACATAGATATAATATAGATATGAATGATTTCAGACGCCGCAAATGATAATAATGACGTTCGATGGCGCAATCAATCACAATAATTTCGATCACTATCAAAAGATATTCACCCAAGATCGACTTAATCCCAACAATTGTCCATTAAGAGGCACATTCTTCATCTCTCACGAATACTGCAACTACAATATGGTCCAGAGTTTGGCGCATGACGGTCATGAGATTGCGACCGAGACGATTTCGTAAGTAGCATGAATATTCGAAATGCGTATCATTTTGTTAATGAGATAAATATTTCCAGACTCCAAAAAGGCCTGGAGGATAAAGGTTACGAGGAGTGGGTTGGCGAGATGATTGGAATGCGTGAAATATTGAAGCACTTTAGCAATATTTCGACTGGCGAAGTGGTTGGTATGCGAGCGCCTTATTTAAAGCCTGGCCGCAACACTCAGTACAAAGTACTTGAGGACTTTGGATATATATACGATAGCAGTATAGGAATCTCGCCGTTGAAGGTGCCGATCTGGCCGTACACTCTTGATTACAAGATCCCACACGAATGTAAAGCGGGCACCTGTCCCACCAAATCATTCCAAGGTAACAGAATTCCAAAGTGACAAAGATTTAGCTTCGTCTGTTTAACATAAAACATAAATACAAAAGTATTAGAAAGAAATTGTGTCGCCAATGGTTCAATAAATGTACTTGATACGGCACTTTTTAAAGAAATATTGTGTATTAGGCATTTGGGAGCTGCCTCTGAATGCGCATTATGTGGAAAGTTATGAAGGTGGACATTGTCCTTACTTGGATCAATGCGTTCTTCACAATCATGACCCCGAGGAAGTGTTCGAGTGGTTGCAAGAGGACTTTAACAGATATTATGAACAAAATCGAGCGCCTTACATGATGCCTTTCCATACCAATTGGTTCCAAATCAAGGAATTGGAACGCGGTCTGTCGAAATTTCTCGATTGGGTGGTAACACTGTGAGTAAAAACATATGAAACACACACATAAACTCGATAATATAACATACACACAAAGTCTCAATATTTTAAAATAAACATTGGATTTTTACAGACCTGATGTTTACTTTGTAACCGCCACACAAGCGTTAACATGGATGACTGATCCGAAACCGATTAAAGCTCTGCACAACTTCGAAGGATGGTCATGTAAGAAGAAAGAGAACCTGCCAGGACCGCCATGCAACAATCCGCACAAATGCGCTTTAGATTTCAAACCTCCCGAAGCAAATTTCACAACAACTAGGTAGATATCTATTTAACTGTTAACTATTAACGCATTATAGAAGTATTAAAATTATTCATAGAAAATATATATTTAAATTATAATTATTGTTTACAGGTACATGGAAACGTGTAGAGAGTGTCCAAATAAATATCCCTGGTTAGGAGATTCGAAAGGTACAGGGTTATACAACGATAATTACAATCCTGAAAAGAAATAGAAATGTCATTACTGTGAGTTAGATTTAATTTTAGTGCAAACGGTTTGCGCGCGCGGGTTTCGTTATTATCGAAATGTGTGTTGCGTGTAAGCGATATAAATCCATTATCGGTCACACGCGTCAAGCATTAATTAATCTAATATCGAAATCTCATAAAATTTTAATTTGTATTTCGAATGTACGAGTCAGTATGAGTAAACTTATACTTCTATCTCTGTATAGAACATATACTTGATTACATTCGTATCTATTATGTTAAGTGTGTGTACTGCTCAATCCGAAAGAGAAAATAAAATATTTCGATGCTACATAAAATCTTAAAAATCTGTCTTTTATTTCTAGCGAAAAAAGTAGTAGTTTGAAATAATTACTCTTATACACAACATTCCCATATTTCTTACTTTATAAAAATGGTGTCTTGTTTTCAGCTGTAACACATTGTATATTTTATATACATATATATTTGAAAGTATATACACAATAGATCTACATTCATTGCATTGAACTGCACTGTTTGTCTGTATCACTGTATAAACACAATCGAGATGGTGCAATTACAGTTTCCTAATCGTTTTCTGTAATTAATTAACGCATTGGAGTCCATGCATCAAGTACTTGGCTATATTTTATGCGTTCTGAAAAAAAAAAAATAGGAATGTCATCACAGAAAGAGCTGTTTAATGTTTTGCGTCAGTTACAGATGAATATTTTTTTTAATCATGAATATACAAGCAATAAATCTTGTAGTTTGAGTAATAAACTCTCTTTTATTATTTTCTCTTTAAATAAATTAATAAAAGCTTACCTGGTTCAGGAAAGAGCTCAGGATGTCGTATGATGTAATCTCTCATTCTAGTATCACGTTCTGCGTGAAAATCACTAACAAGCTTCTTTCCAAACTGCGCTATAAAGTATCCTATTGTTACTGCTATGACATGCATCTGTATTCCTGAAAAAATATGTTTAGTTTAAGACAGCGTTGGAAAGTATGTCAGACAGATTTGAATCCTGACTTATAAAACAATATGTAATAAAAAGCAAATTGTGTTGGCGAAAATCTCCTTTATTAAGTGGAAATGCAAAAAGAAGATATAAAAACATGGAAATGTAATTCACATAAGGCGACACAAATCCTTTCATGCTTGCAACGTCTTAGAATCATTTTGTCCTTATCATCTAAATGTTAAATAAAGACGAGTGATACTTGCATACTCATAAGTATTGCAAGCGTCAAATAAAATTATATTTTTAATTGCTTGAAACTCACTAACTGTTACATATATAGAGTTTGTGTTAATGTTACATAATCGTATTATAAGGTTATGTTCAATCAAGAAACAACATTTATGAGGAATCGAGACACTTACTGGAGTAGAATGGTCTGCGACCAAGATAATTGGCCAAACACGGAATTGAAAAGCCCATTGTCATACATGCTACATCTGGCCCATATTTCGTCGCTACACTAGGCTCGTAATTGGGATCTGGCTTGAGCAGTTCCAGGGCCCATTGAACTTCCGGATGATCGCTTATCTCGTGTGAATGATGTTTACTCATTTTCGCGACGTGTATCACTCTCCGATGTTAAAAATGAGAATAATTAAGAGCGCGATAGTCCGCCTCAATGAGTCGTCGACCGGCGACAAGCGAAAATTACAAAACTAATAATGGCGAGTCGATGCGATCGACGCGATCCAAACTTGACAGGACAAGTTTATTTGACCGCAGCGACATCTGATAAAAATATGATTAACGCCATCTGACGATGACACTTATCAATTCTACTACTTCTATTTTTTCATTTATTGCATTATATTTTTATGAAATAGATAAATATGGTGATCATAAGAATAAGGTGAATGTTATGAGCAATGATAACTTTTATATTTTTTTTCTATGTTTAATTTAATTTGATTTTATATTTTTAATATAATTAATTTTAGTGTCCTATTAATTTTATCTTTTTTAAATCTTGTAATACAATATTTTTTTTTTCTATTTGTTCTTTCGTTGCGTTAAAATATAATATTGTAATAATATAGCAAATTTATTACATATAATAAATTTTTTCATCCATAAGACTTACTTTAAATGTTTTATTTTTTTATATATTATAATCGACACGTTTTTAAAAAATATAAATTTTCAAAAATGTTAATTTATTTAATTTTTAACTTTTACGAATTATAAGCAAGACTAGCAAATCTGAAAAAAATGATCATTATTTTAATGTCATAAAAATTAGGAGAAATTGTTAAGTCTTAATTATCAGTCATCTTCCATTCTTTCCTGTATTTTTTTACATTCATAATTATAATTTATTTATAATTTATTTATACATTATACATTTATAATTGCTTCAACATAATACAATTATTTAAAATATAATAAATTATTTTTTTACGTAATTTATTAAGTTTTACAGTGTAATCGCACGCCAGATATTACAATCTCAAAGTATAGATAACATTTTTTTCGATACTTTACTATTTTATATTGTTAATTATGTATGCTATTTTTTGGCACATGTAGATTTCGTTAACGGTTAGAAAAACATTTAGAAAAACGGTTAGAAGAATATTTAATAATTTGGCAAATAAATTTTGCAAATTGATTTCTCCAATTATTATTGCGTGAGATATACAAATAAATTAATTAATAATGGTCCATAATAACAGTCAAAATTATTAAAAGTATAATAATCTTTTTCCTTATTCCATTAGATTTTGGCAAAAGAAATTTTATAATGATTGATAATTCTTTTGTGTAATAAAATTAATAAAACCTTTCTTGATTGTACAATTAATAATTAATAATTACACATGTTATATTTTCACACATTTTTCATAAACTCACTTGTCATTTATCAGGGTTACATTTACACACTGAGTATGATCTATACGTAACGTTCAATCGTACTTAATAATGATAATGATGCAATTACATTTCATTACATTGAACAATATTACTTTCATTGATTTCTTTTAACACTCTACATCAAAAATGGCCAATTTTTTTAAAATTATGTGGCACAAATGTCCCAAATTCAATTGCTATTTCTCTAAACTTTTTTAGGAGTTAGTATAAACATATACTCATATTGGCAAATTGATATTTTGTACAATTTTTTAAATAAAAAATATTAAATTTTACATTTAATATATCTGTGCTATTTTGTAACTATAAGGAAAACATAAGTAAAATTTGCTAATTGTTTTTGGATATATCTTTGAAGTATTTGAGATTCGTGAAAAAAGTACAGTGAATTTTAAATGTACTTATGTCTATGGCATAAAATATTACAATAATAATGCAGAAATATTATTTTGCAAAATTGAAATATTACATAAAATATTTCTAAAAGCTTATAACAACATTCCGATGTTTATTTTTAAAAAATATTTTGCAATATTCCTGCAATTATCTTTAAATATTTAGAAAAATATTTATTTATGATATTGGAATAATCTTTTAGCAATATTTCGTGTCATAACAGTAAAGAAATAGAAAAGTAAAATATGTTACAAAAAAGCAATCAAAATGTTTAGTTAAACACAAACAAGAATGCAAAAATATGTATAATTTTATCTTTGAATTTCATCAATTAGATTAAAAAATATTAGTATTTTTTAATAGTAATTTTAGTATTATTTAAATTAATACATTATTAAGGGGATGCTAAACTCGTCCGATAAAATGCGGTAACTTTGTATCGGTTTAATTTTTTATTAATTTTATAGATTTGGAAATCCTTTTTCACAATTAAAGTTTATTACGTATCTAGCATATGAATTTCGTATCAAGATCGAGAAAAATTATTATAATTTAGATCTTTTTACCATTTGATACTTTAATAAAAAATAACATCCAGAGCAGTCAAGTTGCGTCAATATTTATATGCTTTATATAAAAAATTTGCGGTCTGTATTTAAAATTGATATTGCTAGACTAGAAGATTACATGAAGAGACAACGTGGAATTCTTAGAATTAGGAGATAGATACCTAATATGATACAAAAAATCAATATGAAAATTTATTCATATGTATACAGAAATATATGTATGAGTATATGTATGTATGTATATCTAAATGTATTTATGTTTATATTTAGATGCGCATATGTGTGAACGCTCTCGTCGAAGTTCGCTTGTTAGTTTAGCATCTCCTTAATATATTATTAATATTCTAATAGAGCAGAAAACAATGGCAACATTTACAATACATAAATATTTTCTACTTGTGATTCTTTAATCTGATCTCTATTAATAAAAAAATTAAAATAAAAGCATTTTTCAAAAATACTTTCGAATTTAAATTATGGATAATATGGAAGTAAAAAATAATAGTATTTATAAACGCAACTCATATCAACAATAAAGTTATCACATTGCATCATACGCACTGTAAGCGTATTAGTTTAAAATTTATAAATTATCTTTTAAAACTTATATAATTCTCTCTTTATCAGTAATCATAATATATGAGTATATCATAAAAAAATAAGTGAGTATAACATAAGGTGGCATCTTATCGAATAAATATCAACTTCCTTACAAAATGCAAACAATATCCATATAAGATTCTCTTGTAATATGATATAAAAAATAATTAGACTTTTAAATATATCTGATTATCTTTTTTACAATATAGTTGAAATCTTAATATCACCATTGTTCTAGTAAAAATATAAAATATAATAGAATGCATTCACAAAATTCTTTTCTATAAATTCATTATTAATACTAATTGTTTGAATGTTAGCTTACCCTAACATTCCTAATTGTATTATTCTATTATCATTTTTATTCAGTTGTATTGTTATTATCAATGTAACCTCTAACATACCATGCTGCAGACCTTAAAAAATAAACATTTACAATATATGTTTGACATATTATATTACAAATATTAATACAAACCTTATGCGCGAAATTGGCATTGTGGTGACAATAAAAAATTGTGTTAATGCTACCCCAATACATCCTATTCGCAACGGACAGATTAATGCAGCTGTTAAACCATATTCTAGATATAGAAAATAAGTCAAAATGACTTGTATCAGGATTATTGGGCAAAATGGTAAGAAATGCCAAGCTATCCTTAATTTTGACCAGACTTGAGTGACAGGACGTTCAGCGTATTGTAATCTGAAACGCAATTAAGCTCAGAACATTTTTTTTATCATGACGATATTATTGCAATATTACAGACCTACGATCCATGTAATGTGCTAAATGTAGTATATGGGGTATATGAAAACACCATAACTGAAGAAATCCATAAACAAACGTTAAACCACCTGGTAAAAAATGATTTTGAATGATTATTCCCCACAGAAATATCACACCCATATGACCTTCAATTAATTCTCCCACAGCCCATGGACCTTGAATTGAATTTTGAGTTAATTTTAATTTTTTAAATTCTTCTAATTATATATTTATATATTTACCAATAGTCAAAAATAATGTGTGAAATATCACCCCATAAAACAACATATCATCGTTGGATAACAACGATAATTTCCTCCCCAGACATGAATAAAAGAACCTCGCATGTCGACGTGGTATTGTTATCCTTTTATCTGAATAACAAATAGAAAGAGTATATATATTTTTTTTATACAATCTAATATGAAATTCATGTAAATATTCCTTACTCTTGTTACATAAATGAAAACATCGAATTAACCACAGTGGGACGACTACCAATGCCAGTGTAGAGAAGAATAAAAACTGAAACTATAAGAAATAAGAATAAATTAAATTATTATAATAAATTAAATTATTATATATATTATTATGCAAAAATTTAATTAGTCAATAGTGATATATTTACTTACAATATAGACAATATCAAACATCAGCACTAATTTGGGAAGAATGGAAGTAGATAACCACGATCCATTCAGAGAAAAAGAATGTGATACAATTTTCTTCCTGTTTTCATCGTCAATTACACGTACCTAAAAATATAAAATAATTTTATTTACAAAAGCAGTACATGTACATATATTTTGAATTAGTATGTTAATCAGCTATTATAAATAATTTTGTGTAAAAAATATCTACTAAACTGTTATATGATGAATACCCTCTTTATATCTTGTAGAGTTCCATGGCAATACATAGAGAGGTCCATTTACATGAGTACATTCTTGCCAACCACCATCATCTAATTGAACTTCGACAGTTTTTAATTTGACTGTAGAGAATGCCAATACTCTATAACAAGCAGTTTATTGAATTTTATGAATTAAATAAGAAAAGTTGCTAGTATCAACAAAAATGCATTTTTACCTGACATGGGTGGATTTGATAATGGATTGTAAATTTTCCTTTTGTGGCATCATAAATAACACGTTTTTGGGATTGGTGATTAATGCTATAGGCCAATCATTGTGTTTTATATCAATGAATGAGAACTGGCCATGATCTATCGCCGCAAGGCGATATCTAAAAAGCGTTTGTCAGAGAGGCATTTAATATTTATGTAAACTAAAAATAAGGCAAATTGATTGTGATAAATATATCTTAACAAATGATGTACTAAGAATAACAAAGAAATATTTGCACAACTAATAGCAAAGCAGTGTCAATATTAGCTCATATATGAAAAGATAGTGTGTGTCCTAATTTTTACAACATAATAATAAAAAATAAAATATACTTTTCTATATTTCTAAAGTTCTTTTTTAAGTAGGAAAGAATTCTGATTATTGAGATTTAAATAATTAAATTTAAAATGTATTATAGAAAATACATGCAAACTCAATAAATTATACATCAGCAACTATCGTGCTTAAATATATAAAAGAGTATTTATCTTACATTCTTTTTTCTTTCCAGTCTGCCAATTCTAGTTCAAGAAAACCTTCGTTTTGTAACACGTACATATTGGGTACCATATTGAGAAGTGTATGATAGTGGCCACATAGATACACCATATTTTTTCTGTGATTACCTTTTCATATACAATAAATTTAGTACAATTGCAAAAATGTAATATAAAATTAATATTTTATAAGCATAAAATATTACAAATATTACTTATCTTACCTAAAATGTTTCTGATATTAGATTCCGATATTATACTCGACGTAGGATAATGACCAAATACAATTACATGAGCAGCATTGTTCTCTTTCGATATGTTAATCAATTGTTTTATCTTATCAATTTCTATTTGGTCTAAAGTACCAATAAAATTGAATGGTCTTTTAAGACCCGGCTTCAAACAAGCATCAATTGCAATAAAAGAATATATCTCAAGACCAACTTTAACATTATACATATAAGATCTAGGATGTTTCTTTCCTTGGATAGAATAATGCGAATAATAATTATTTTTAGATTCTAGATTTAAGATGCCAAAGTTATCTGAAAATAACATTAACAGGTTAACATGATTTTTTTGTGTGCATGTGCAATTAAAATGCATGCCTCTTTCTCACCATGATTCCCTCTAATATCCAACCACAAAGTTTTCTTACTGACATTAGTCTGATCTATTACATTTTTATAATGCTGCCATTCTTGAAGGATTTCATTAGACCCCAATCCATTTTTAGCTAAGGCATCAGTCAAATCTCCTATTAAGATGCAAGTATAAAAATTATTTAATTTTTCTTTGGTCATGATCTAAGTATATGATATCATATATTTCTTATAGCTGTAAAATGCCTGAATATAAATTACCTGAAGCAAGAACAACTCCAGGTTGAATAGAATTTACTGTTACATTACAGAATTCCTTGAATTGAGATAGCCTAGAAGGATCTCTAAAGATACTTATATGTATGTCACTTATCTGAGAACATAAAAAGGCATGAACAGATCTCTATGATATATGATCGTACGTGAACTATAACTTTTATTATATTATTGAATTATTATTGATTATTTTGAATACAAGCATCGACAAACCTGTAGGAACCAAATCAAGTGATTGTATGAATTTTCTATGTTATAATACTTTGGTTCGGACCACTGCACGACAGGCTCTCCGTTATTGTCTGTCAAGGTCTTCTTCGGAAGGTAGGGATCGACGTCACCAAGATAACTCCTCGTTATCAGGATGACGATTGTCAGCGTCATAATTAGATAGATGCCGGTGGATCTCCCTAGCCTCATCGTGACGACAATACGACCACGCAAATACATCAATTAAAGGGAAGATTTTGAAGTGAGATTGCCCTCATCCGAGGGGAGGGAGGCTACCCGTTTCAATTTCGGACCGTGTCAATTATTTACGGATGGAAGCCGATACGCGGATACCCGAGGACGTTCGTCCCAGACGAGAAGCGTGCACGGGAAGACAGTCGAAAGACTTGGGAAATCATCTTATGCCTCCCACATTTGCACAGATGCCGACTGCGACACACAGAAATCCAGGTTTACGGCCAAAAGCAATGGTCGTACGACGTCAAGTGCGTCGTTTTGCGCATGATGCGTTCGAAATCCGGGTCATCTGACATCGATCGGGGGGGAATCCCGAATCGTAAAGAACGGCCCGACTTTCCTACGCTCCATTCGCTCGCTTTGCTATTCACCTGTTGTCATTTCATCACGGCATGTTCGATCGGTTCCCCGGCCTCGTTCGCCTTCCCGCCGGGATCGATTACATTTCCTAACGATTCCTGTCAGGGTCCCTTGTTAAATGTTACGTTGACATTTAATTGCTCTCTACATTATCAGTGTACGATAACGCACTTTACCGTCACGTTTCTTTTGCACGTGATTCTGTAAGATGTTACTGAATATCCTAAAAGAAGGAGAGAGATGTGGAAATTTGAAAATTCACACTTCAAACTAGATTAGATGATTTTACGCGTATAAAATTATTAAATTAAATTTATCCAAAATTGATTAAAATTAAAGTTAGCTTATTAATCTTATTGTTCATTTTAATTTTATTATATATTTAATTTAATTTTACTAATTTCTCACTAATTTTAATAAAATTGAATTAAACTTAAGGTAAATTTAAGCAATTTTTCTCAGTTCTTTAAGAATAATTATATATCATAATTTCTACCATAAAATGTTATCTATTCAATATTAGATAACATTCTGATATGTGAATTCTGCGAATGTTGAAGATAAAAATAAATTCTGTATATTTCTTAGATTTGAGGTATTCAGCTAGTGAAATAGGATGTTTCAAAAGTGAAGATCAATCGTTAGGAAGATGATTAGAGATTAAAAAACAAGAAAAAAGTTGATATAAATAGAAACATTCGGAAATGCGTTGTTTTTGAGTTATCATCATTTTTATGTTGAAATTTCAAACTGTTTTATTTTCGAATTTTTTGTTAAAATTAAAAGAAGAGATAGTCTTTATAAATTTTATAACATAATTAAAATTAAATAAAAATTGGGCTACTTTATCACTACACAGGATACACCACATGGAGATACATCTTAGCATCTCTTGGCAGAGAGATTAAAAATCCATAGTGCATCTCGTTATAAAATTAATTTCAAATCCCTTGCGATATTTTATTAAAGTCGATTATTTTCCTATCGGTAATGTTCTATTTTTATTTTACCTCTCACATATTTCCGTCTTGTCTTTCGTATTTTTATACGTTTTTCTTAAGAATAAATTAAGAAAACTGCAATTTGAGCGATTGACCTCGATTTACGGAACACCTATATAAAAATTATATATTGAAATATTGTATATTCAAGTTTTTTATTATCTAAGCAAGGAATATATTTACATTCATTTTTTCGCGTTGTACTTTGTTAGTTACATTTATTATTTATTATTTATTATTTAGTATGTTTAATATTAATATTAGTATTACTATATTTAGTTTAAAGAAAATGTATATATCTATATAGAGCTATATAGAAGGTGTCTCATAATTCGCGACTCATCTCTTATAGACAAAATTAAAATGGATTAAAGTGAATAAAAAAATCTTCATCATTTTGCAACTTTTATAATATTAATAAAAATTAATTGTATTTCAATTATGTTTTATATGAAAATAAATTAATGTTAATGATATATTATGGACCAATCGTTCAAATTTGAAATTTATTGCAAATTTCCGCAAGGTCAACGATCTCTTTGATAATACATTTGTTGAAGCGACAAAATCAAATTCCGCAGTTTTTAAAATGTAAAACGTCTAATCATAAAAAAACTTCTTTTTAGACTTTATTGAAATTTTTGGAAATACATGCATCTTCAAAATGCAAGTTGAAATGAATTCTCAAGCTCCGGAAAGGAAAATCCGAAACGATGAACGAATCTGTCAAAGGCAGGAAGACGAAGTTTCGTCAGCCCAGCAACCGCTAAGAAGTTTATCTGATAGAAGAATATGTCATAGGATTTCCGTTCGTGGTTTATAATGCAAATTCTGACGCAATTGATAATACAATGGGATGTTGAATATATAGGTTTTCAGACCTGACCTACATAAAAAAATAATTTCAAATCGCTTACGATATTTTATTAAAGTCGATTATTTCCCTATCGGTAATGTTCTATTTTTATTTTACTTCCCACATATTTCCGTCTTGCTTTTCGTATTTTTATACCCTTCCTTAAGAATGAATTAAGGAAAACCGCAATATGAAGTCAAAGATAAAAAAGAGAAAGAGAATAAAATATAAAAGCATGATGAAAAGCTTCTTTAAGTTTCCCGTAGAAAGCAAAAAGACGTATGATCGTATATAAAGAGTTAGGTAGTCTGTCAAATATAGATTTTGCAAAATGCATATTATAGATTTTATTGATAGAATACCTGTAAAAAAAGATATAACGGGATATGAACATAAAAATCCGAACAGAACTTGCTGTAATAATTTAAATAACAGGTCTGTTTTTTTTTATCTCGCTTTTAGTAAATTTCAAATGTATATCTACTTTATTTTAAATACAACGAGTGTACCAGTTCGGTCAACTAGTTCAAAAGTTGCAAAAAACAGACTTGATATTTTTCATGAATATATGATATAGAAGTAAATGCTATTTAAATCACGAAGGATTAGTACTCGATTTACTCGACTTTTCTGTTATCGATTCAGACTTCGCTAAAAGAACTTGAGCTTAAGACTGAATAAGCAGTTGATGCCGATCTACCGCAATATTCCGCTTGAGTTTGCTGACAAACTGCTAGCATACTACTACTGGCACTTTGCTTATTGAGATGCCGGATTAGAAAATAAACGAAGGCAAACGAAGAGAAGAGTATTTTAATAATCTTAAAGTCAATCCTTAATTTCGAAGATGCGAATTTAATAATTTTGAAACATTAGCTTTCTGCGCGTTTCTGTCAATTCCTTCGGGTGAGTAATCTCAAGGAATATAGCAATATATCTTTCTCTCATCGGATGAGCTTTCTTATTTTATCGGATAAGCTAATCTATTTCATCGCAGAAAAAAATGCAAACGATCGGTCTCTGATGCGATTTGATGATTTCAGATAAAGCCTCGGAAGCAGATAACAATACGGCTGATAAGGGAAAACCAACATCAGCCTACGGATCGGAAGTCGTCATGTATGATGTAAATCAGTTTAAGTAGTCTACGAAGAGCTGCTGAAAGCTCATAAGCTACGCAGCGCAGTCGCCGTTTACTTCGGCGTGGTTCTCGATACTTTGCACAGTTTATCTCGCTCGCCTTTCCATTGTAAATTACATTATACCAGTGAGAAAAGGAATAGAAGAAGTTTCGACGATGACACTCGGAAAAAGTATTATAGTACTTCTGGAATTCTTCATCGTCTTACCGGTACGTAGACGTCAACGACTTAGATCACTCGAGGAGCTTTAATCGGATTTTTAACGTCTAGGAGCTGAGTAAAAAGTCATTGAAGAACATTATTCAATAATGTTAATTGGGAGATTTCCTGTTAAATTAATATCGATTATTAGAATTGAATTTAATATAAAACATAATAAATTAAATAAAAATGAAGAAAGTCGCCCAGTTTGGATCGTTCGATTTGAGGATTTAATCGGAAATTTTTAACGAGCAATCTATAAGATCGAATAGAAAAAATATTACAGGAAATTAAATTTGATATGAAATATAAAATAAATAATAAATCAAATAAAAATGAAATACAGAGAAATATGATATTTACCTATGATGCAAGTAAAATACGAGTTCGCGCAACCAGATAAGCGTTGATTGTCAAAAAGTTAATCTCTCCGATATGTAATATCAAACGATTTGTACGAAAGATAAAGCATACATATATATTAATTATTTTCTTTCCTAGAAAATAAAATATGATTTTTAAGTAATTAATCAAGATATTAAGACAAGAGCTTTGCATCGATAAAGTAAAAATGCGCTGAATAGACAATAGAAAAAAAATGGAGAATTGAAGAAACGCATTTTTTTATTTCAGATTCTCGAAGCTCGCGTTTATCATGGCTACAATTCCTATAAACAATATTACAATTATCGCATTAATGGCGAACAATTAAAACATCCAACGCTTACTTCCGATGAAATAATCAATGAAATTACTAATGAAATTATCAACAAACAGTATAAACAGTATGAAAACAGTAATGATATGAAAGAACAAATCAAATCACGTTTTGAAGGTAACGAAAAAATGAGACCTTAAAACGATATTTTGGTAATTTAATGTAACTATATTCGTTAAATTAAAACTAACTCTTCCTAATTAAATTAAAATTAATCACTCAACTTTATAATTTATTCCTCAGAAGATAATGTCTATTTCGCAAACTTCAGTTAAACTTTTATGGATATATCTGTAGATACCAGTAAGAAAACGGACTTGAAGAGTGATTTTATATTCCCGGACGAATTTCAAGCGAGAAATAGTGACGATAATTACGTACAGGTCGCAAGATGTAACGACAAGAAACAAACCTTCTGCGAAGACGTCCCGTATTATCCTATAGACTTTGTGAACCAGGCGATCATTAGGAATTCGAGTCTGCTACATTACGCGCACGAAGATATTGTTAGTAAATTAATAGTTGAAATTGTAGTTTATATTAACAGTTTATTTTCGCAGAAACTAGAAACATCCGAATTAAAATTATTTTCTTCACCTATAGGTAAACATCGCACAACGAGCAGACATCGACGAGATACAACTTTGCCCATCCCAGGTAAAATTAAATCGTGATTTTTTTTTACCGCAAGTAATGTCAAGTTTTGAAAATGTTCATAAAAAAATATCCATAAAATTATAGGAACGAAAAATTTATCCAAAATCGGCCGAAAACCTGAACAAACAGTGGCGGTATATCCTTCAGTCAAACGAAACGAATTTCCGTCAAGGTATACGGGTCGAGACTTGCGAGTAAGTGTTACACGAAGAAAAAAAAGCGTTGCAAATTAGAGTTCGATTATTTTTTAATTTTTGCCTACAACATATTTGTATACAAATAAGAAAGTTATTAGAATAAATTTATAGACTACGTAGATTGTACGAGGACGATTGTAGGATGAGAATAAAATAGAACGTTACGTCGACGAGAAACATCGTAATGCGTTCTACTTTTAGTGAGCAGGATTCTACGTGCAAGATGATCGACGGTATGATCTCAGGATACGTTACGACGTGCAAGCAGAAATATATTTATCGCGAACTGTCTGCCATTTCCGAAGATGGCAGAATCATTCGCGATTTCTTCCGACTGCCTGCGAGCTGTTGCTGTCACATTGAATTCCAGCCTGAAAATATCGGGAAGAGAATATCAGCCTTTGAAGAAACCTTGCAGTATCGTCCTCAAGTTTTGCAGAAAATATACGTGTAATAATATTTAAAAAATATTTTTTTTAGAATATAAATATTTTTAAGCAAATACGATTTGTGTAGGAATAATTAGTTGGCAACCAGGTTTTTTCGGAATACGAGGTCGTAGAAGATATTGTTTTGCTTACATATTAAGTGCTTTGCAGAACGTTGTATGACGAGTAAGATATTTTGAGGATCTGAAAAAATAAAAAATAAAATAAAAAATAAAATAATGTACAAAAATTAAAATGTATAAAATTTATAGATATTTTCAACATTGTTAATATTATCGCAATATCTCATTAACCTTCATAAATGAATCGTTGGACAAGGTAACTATGTGTCCACTGGTTATCTTGATTGGTCTTTTGGCTCGCGTAATTATTATCAAAAGAGTCTTCATTAAATCAACAGGAAGCATCGGCCAGTCCATTTCGTAAATGGCGCTTCCGATTTCAGTGCTCTGTATATCATAAAAATAAACTGACAATAAAACTTAAAAAAATTAAAAATTTATTAAATTGGTCTTTCAGAAAAGGAAAACATGTTTTAAAAAATATAATAATTTGAAAAATTAAAAATTTGTTTAAATGACCGACCTTTAATGTCACTTCATTACCGAACCAGCAGTACAAATAAATCTGCATAAACATACTACCAAGGTACGACGAGCTCGACGCAAACTCGAGACTCAGCAAGTTCTTCGTCAACATTTTGTAGATGCTAAGACAGAGCACTGTCGAGCTTATGGTAAATTGTACGAAAATCATTAGGGTAAACACCGCATTGATGCGCTCCGCAAATCTGCACCATTACAATTTTTCATTTCTTCATGATATATTTCCTTCCTTTTCTTCATGCGCGAATAAAACTTTATTTTCACCTGTACACATAGCGATGATGATGAACGAGTTCGCGAACGAGTTGCTGTTCTCGTGCCTTGACCTCTTCCTTCGAGATGTCGTGTTTCCAAACTTCTCGTAGCGAATCCGGCAATGTGCGAGCGCGGTGACAGAGTATATCCAGCTGGGCGCAGGTCTGAATCATAAAGCCAGAGATCAGAGTCTCGTGAGCGACGCTGGCATTTGCGCAGACCATTGATCCTATAGTTTGATGCAACATGGTCGCCCAGAATACAGGCGTCGACGAGATGTCATAGGGCACCCAGTCGAACAGCGGTAAAGTCCGAGTACTGACAAAATATCGAAACTGCGCGACCGTTGCGAAGAAGACAGCCGATTCATTCAATATCTCGCAACATATGGTAATTATCCTGAAGAAATATAATAAAAACATATTGCTAAGGTATTGGACAACAGTTAGTGAAATATTAGAAAAAAGAAGGGAAGAAATATGAAGCAAGCATTTTTGAGTAGAAATTGTTACATTCTGTAATTGTTAAGCATTTATTTGGAATCTTTATTTCTTCTCTTAGATTCTTGTCTCGCAAAAATAATGTCAATGTTGTCAAAAAATTTTTGTTTCGTCTAAAAATGATATCAATATTAATCACGCAAAACTGGAATTTCATTTTTATTAAATAAAAAAAATTTAATTTAATTTAATTTTATAATACGCACTTTGCACTGTGATCGAAGCGTTGCTGGATATCCATCTCGTGATCGTTCCTGGGTACGCAAATGTCTTTCAACAGCATATCGGTGAGATCGATGATCTTATCTCGATGTAACAGCAAGTTCATCACTTTGCAACTAACGCCGAGTACCGATAGAAACAGAGAGAATTTCTCAATAAATGTCTCGAGATCCTCAATTATGAAGGAATCGACTAAACCGCAAAGTGTGAATGAGTAAAGCAGAAAGTTCATTATAATGGAATAAACGATATACGTCCAATATTTGATGGATGTCAGGCCAACAGGTCGCCAATAACCAGTATACGTTAAGAGTGCAAACGACAAAGGAAGAGTGTGCATTGTTCTTGAATAAAAGTTTCAAGGGAGGCAATTCAATGATCTTTAGATAAAGTATCTCAATAAAAATATTTCTTGCGAGACGACGTTCTAAGGAAGCTATTATATTGTAGTTTCCATTTCTTTACGTTAGTCTTTTATACCCCTTTTTCTATTCTCTCTTACTTAGAAATTACTTTGACTTCCGCTATAGATAACTTATGCATAAGTAAATTTTGCTAATCATTTTATGAAACGTTATATACATTTCTGTAAAGACAATTGTATGTATTATTAGAGGCATGCCAGTATTGTTATGATAATTCCGTCTTACTCCGCGTTATTAAGAAAATGTTTAAAAATAAATTTGTACCTTTCGCGATCGATAAACGCGAGTCTTGGGTCTCAACATTAGAACACTTATTAATCTACAGACTTTAATTATTTCTTAAACTTATTCATAAATTTTACGTTTTTAACAATTGGAAAATGAATTACAAAAGTATCAGAAAACGCTGTAACTGCCAATTAGATCTGAATTGATATTGAATTAATAGAGGCATTATTGCATGGAAAATAGAAAACGTCTGGAGAATAATAGTGATGACTTTCAGTTATTACAAGGAATAAAATGAAATTCCATTCCGTTGCATTCCATTGCTTATTAATATGTAATGAATATAGCATGATAAAACATCCGACGAGTTCTAGAGGCCGACACAATTTCTTTAGTTGGTTTTTTCCTTCATATTAGTACGAGAATTCGTTATTTTTTTTCTGAAGATCTTGTGACATTCTTTCTACATTCAACGTAATATAATCAGCTTATTGAGATGAGTTTTCAGTTAGATACCGAGAAATTACTTTATCTAATTATGATAAAATAATCTGTAAATTATGATCTATCATCATGTGATACTAGAGTTGAGTAGTAACTAGGTAAAAAGTTAAAAATTAATTAATAAAGTTAAAAAGGTTATAATAACTTTTAACTTAATTTAGTTAACTTTAAATAAATTAATTTGTAACTTCTAATTTATAACTAAGTATTATTATATTTATAACTAATTATTAACTAATTATTAACTAATTAACTATTATAATTTATAACTAATTATAACTAATTATTCTTAAAATACATAATTTTTAAACTTTAACTTATTAACTTTTTTTCTTAGTTAAAAATTTACTTTTGTAGAAGAAAAGTTATATAAAAGAAGAAGTACATGTCTATATAAAAAACAATATTTCATATAAATTTAATTTACAAATAAAATATTAAATTTAATGATCAGTATTGTAATTGTTTTGTTATAGAATATTTTAATGTGAAAATTTTCTTCAAGATCGATAAATAAGTGAAGAGAAGCAAAAACCGTATCAAGAGTAGTAAGTAAGAGAAAGAAAGAAAGGGCAAAGAGAAGAGTAGATTAAAATAAAATGAATGAAGGAAATGAAGGAAGTGAAAATCCGAAAAATTTACAATTGAAATTAATAAGTGACTAACGGAAGACTTACTTGGTTGACTGAGATCGAGGTTGAAGAAGAAAGTCTCGATTTTCTTCTGAGAATTTGCTTAGGATTCACTGATTCTAAGTTATAATTTCAAAGGTAGACTGGGATGAAAAAATGGATAAGTAGGATGAAGGATTGATTAGTGGATAACTAATGGCTGCTGAATGAGTAACGAATGATAGCTCCGGCCCAGAAGGGGTTCCATTTATGTAAGCTGATCAGGATCTAATTCTTGTTGAGGAGGGATGTTACTAGGATAATACTAGAAATCTGAGGTAGCTAGGCAGGATGTTTACATTAGATATCATCTCTCGCTCATGCTCGTTGTAAGTGCAGTATTTAGACTCGTAACAGATTCAACCTGAGGGTTAATATTAAAGAAAATATTCTTCGCGTATTTCATTAAAATAAAATAAAAAGTTGGAGCGGTTACAATTTTTTCTCTTGCTTCATGAATATATATCTTATCAATAAAAGGTTGAAAATAATAAAGAAAAATTATATTAGTCATGCTTTTTGGAAAGAAAAGAATCGTGGAATCCATTGAAATCTATTAACACTGTTATAAAATTAATTTTAAATCTCTTGCGATATTTTATTAAAATTAAATTAAAATCGATTACTTCCCTATTGATGACGTTCTATTTTCATTTTATTTTTCATATATTTTCGTCTTGTCTTTCGTATTTTTATACGTTTTTTTAAGAATAAATTAAGGAAACCGCAGTTTAAGTGATTGACCTCGATTTACGGATTTTTACCTGTATAAAAATTATATTATATTGAAAAGGTATATTCAAGTTTTTTATTATCTAAGGAAAAAATATATATTTACATTTATTATATTTACTATATTTAATATTAATATTTAATATTAGTATTTAATATTTAATATTAATATTTATATAGTAATATTAATATTTAATTACTATTAATATTATTACTATTTAATTTTAAGAAAATATATATATTTATATAGATCTATATAGAAGGTATCTCATAATTCTGAATTATCTCTTATAAACAAAATTATAATGGATTATAGTGAATAAAAAACCTTCACCATTTTGCAACTTTTATAATTAATAAAAAATTAATTGTATTTCAATTATGTTTTATATAAAAATAAATTAATGTTAATGGTATATTATGGGCCAATCGTTTAAATTTGAAATTTATGCAAATTTCCGTAAGGTTAATGATCTTTTTAATGATACATTCGTTGGAGCGACAAAATCAAATTCCGCAATTCTTATTGTTTTTAAAATGTAATAAGATCTTAAAACAGTATTTTGGTAATCTAATATAACTGTGTTTATTAAATTAAAATTAATCTTTCTTATTCGATTAAAATTAATTACTTAATTTTACAATTTATTCAGAAGATAATGTTTATTTCGCAATTTTCAGTTAAACTTTTATGTAACTGTAGATACTAGTAAGAAATCGGACTTAAAGAATGATTTTGTATTGCCGGACGAATTTCAAGCGAGAAATAGTGACGATAATTACGTATAGATGTGACGACAAGAAACAAACCTTTTGCGAAGATGTCCCTTATTATCCTATGGACTTAGTGAACCAGGCAATTATCAGGAATTCCAGTCATATTACATTATGCGCATGAGAATATTGTTAGTTGATTAATAATTATAGTTTATTTTTGCAGAAACTAGAAACATCCGATCTAAAATCATTTTCTTCGCCTATAGGTAAACGTTGTACAACGAGCAGACATCAACGAGATACAACTTTGTCCGTCCCAGATAAAATTATCTTTAAATAAATTGTGATTTTTTTTACCGCGTAATGTCAAGTTCTGAAAATGTTTATAAAAAACCATAAAATTATAGGAACAAAAAATTTATCCAAAATCGGCCGTGAATCTGAACAAACAGTGGAAAAAAAGACAAAAAAATAAGACAAATTTCCGTCAAGATATATGGATCGAGACTTGCGAGTAAGTGTTATATGACGAAAAAATCTTGCAAATTACAGTTAAATTATTTTTTATTTTTGTATACAACATTTTGTATACAATACATAAGAAAGAATATATATAGAATAAATTTATAGACTATATAGATTACTAGTAAGACGAGAGTAAAATAGAACGTTACAAGAAACGTCGTATAGCATTCTACTTTCAGTGAGGAGGATTCTAGGTGCAAGATGGTCGACGGTATATAAAAGTGGATACGTCACAACGTGCAAGCAGAAATTATCGCGAACTGTCTGTCCGAAGACGGCAAAATTATCCGCGATTTTTTCCGACTGCCTGCGAGCTGCTGCTGCCATGCTGAATTCCAGCCCGAAAATATCGGGAAGAAACTATCAGCCTTTCAAGAAATCTTGCAGTATCGTCTTCAAGTTTTGTAAAAAATATACGTATAAGAATATTTATGAAAATATTTTAGGATATAGATATTTTTAAGTAAATACAATTTGTGTAGGAATAATTAGTTGGCAACCAGGTTTTTTCAGAACGCGAGGTCGTATGCGAGAAGATATTGTTTTGCTTGTATATTAAGAACCTTGCAGAACATTGTATGCCGAGTAAGATATTTTGATGATCTGAAAAAATAAAAAATAAAATGAAAAATTAATATACAAAAATTAAAATGTGAAAAATTTATTAAAAATATTTTCAACATAGATAATATCATCGCAATATCTCATTAACCTTCATAAATGAATTGTTGGACAAAGTAACTATGTGTCCACTAGTTATCTTGATTGGTCTTTTGGCTCGCGTAATTATTATCAAAAGAGTCTTCATTAAACCAATAGGAAACATCGGCCAGTCCATTTCGTAAATGGCGCTTCCAATTTCAGTGCTCTGTATATCATAACAATAAAACTTGATAATAAAACTTGAAAAAAAATTTTAAAAATTATTAAATTGGTCTTTCAGAAAAGGAAAATATTTTTAAAAAATAATAATAATTTGAGAAATTAAAAATTTGTTTTTAAATGACCGACCTTTAATGTTACTTCATTGCCGAACCAGCAGTACAAATAAATTTGCATAAGCATACAACCAAGATACGATGAGCTCCACGCGAATTCGAGACTCAGCAAGTTCTTCGTCAACATTTTATAGATGCTAAGACAGAGCACTGTCGAGCTTATGGTAAACTGTACGAAAATCATTAGGGTAAACACCGCATTGATGCGCTCCGCAAATCTGCATTACAATTTTTCATTTCTTCATGATATATTTCCTTCCTTTTCTTCACGACGAATAAAACTTTATTTTCACCTGTACACATAGCGATGATGATGAATTAATTCGCGAACGAGTTGCTGTTCTCGTGCCTTGATCTCTTCCTTCGAGGTGTCGTGTTTCCGAACTTCTCGTAGCGAATCCGGCAATGTGCGAGCGCGGTGACAGAGTATATCCAGCTGGGCGCAGGCCTGAATCATAAAGCCAGAGATCAGAGTCTCGTGGGCGACGCTGGCATTTGCGCAGACCATTAATCCTATGGTTTGATGCAACATGGTCGCCCAGAATGCAGGCGTCGACGAGATGTCATAGGGCACCCAGTCGGACAGCGGTAAAGTCCGTGTACTGACAAAGTATCGAAACTGCGCGACCGTTGCGAAGAAGACAGCCGATTCATTCAATATCTCGCAACATATGGTAATTGTCCTGAAGAAATATAGTAAAAACATATTGCTAAGGTATTGGACAACAGTTAGTGAAATATTAGAAAAAAGAAGGGAAGAAACACGAAGCAAGCATTTTTGAATAGAAATTAAACATTCTGTAATTGTTAAGCATTTATTTGGAATCTTTATTTCTTCTCTTAGATTCTTGTCTCGCAAAAATAATGTCAATGTCGTGTAAAAATTTTTGTCTCGTCTAAAAATGATATCAATATTAATCGCGCAAAACTGGAATTTCATTTTTACTAAATAAAAAAAGAAATTTAATTTAATTTTATAATACGCACTTTGCGCTGCGATCGAAGCGTCGCTGGATATCCATCTCGTGATCGTTCCTGGGTACGCAAATGTCTTTTAACAGCATATCGGTAAGACCGATGATCTTATCTCGATGTAATAGCAGGTTCATCACTTTGCAACTAACGCCGAGTACCGACAGAAACAGAGAGAATTTCTCAATAAATGTCTCGAGATCCTCGATTATGAAGCAATCGACTAAACCGCAAAGTGTGAATGAGTAAAGCAGAAAGTTCATTATAATGGAATAAACGATGTATGCCCAATATTTGATGGATGTCAGGCCAACAGGTCGCCAATAACCGGTATACGTTAAGAGTGCAAACGACAAAGGAAGAGTGTGCATTGTTCTTGAATAAAAGTTTCAAGGGAGGCAATTCAATGATCTTTAGGTAAAGTATCTCAATAAAAATATTTCTTGCGAGACGACGTTCTAAGGAAGCTATTATATTGCAATTTCCATTTCTTTACGTTAGTCTTTCACCCCCTTTTCTATTCTCTCTTACTTAGAAATTACTTTGACTTCCGCTATAGATAACTTATGCATAAGTAAATTTTGCTAATCATTTTATGAAACGTTATATACATTTCTGTAAAGACAATTGTATGTATTATTAGAGGCATGTCAGCGTTGTTACGGTAATTCCGTCTTACTCCGCGTTATTTAAAAATAAACGTTCGCATAAATTTGTTACCTTTCGCGATCGATAAACGCGAGTCTTGGGTCTCAACATTAGAACACTTATTAATCTACAGACTTTAATTGTTTCTTAAACTTATTCATAAATTTTACGTTTTTAACAATTGGAAACTTGAATTACAAAAGTATCAGAAAACGCTAACTGTCAATTAGATCTGAATTGATATTGAATTAATGGAGGCATTATTGCACGGAAAATAGAAAATGTCTGGAGAATAATAGTGATGACTTTCAGTTATTACAAGGAATAAAGTGAAACGTTGCATTCCATGGCTTATTAATATGTAATGAATATAGCGTAATGAAGCATCCGACGAGTTCTAGAGGCCGAGACAATTTCTCTAGTTGGTTTTCTGCTTCGTATTAGTACAACAATTCGTTATTTTTCTTTTAAAAATCTTGTGACATTCTTTCTACATTCAACATAATATAATCAGCTCATTGGCATGAGTTTTCAGTTAGATACTGAGGAATTTACCTAATTGTGATAAAATAATCTGAAATTATGATCTATCATGTGATATTAGAGTTAAGTAATAACTAGTTAAAAAGTTAACAGTTAATTAATAAAGTTAAAAGATTAATAAATTTTAACTTAACTTTAAATAAATTAATTTATAACTTCTAATTTATAACTAATTATAAATATTTATTTTTAATATGCATAAACTTTTATTCATTAACTTTTTTTTTATTAAAAATTGACTTATGTAGAAGAAAAAATTAGAAAAGAGAAAATACATTTTTGTATAAAAGAAACAATATTTCATATAAATTTAATTTACCAATGAAATATTATATTTATTTAATGATCAGTATTTTAATTGTTTTGTTACAGAATATTTTAATTTGGAAAATTATGACATTCTAATTTAATATAAAATAATGCTTTTCAAAATTAATTTTTAAAATTTAATTTAATTTTTACGCAACTTAATTTTAAAGCTATTTTCAATTGAATTGGTTTTTTGTTCATGTAACTTTTAATGTAACTGGTTAACATAAATTAATTTTATTAGTTATTAATTTTAACTTAATTTAATTAAAAAATAATGTTACTTACCCAATTCTGCATAATATCAATATCAAGCTCGTGAAAATGTTCGTGAAAATGTTTTAAAAGCAAATTTATTTGAAAGCAATTAAAAAAATATATAGAGAAGAAAATGGTATATTCTTCAATCGAACAAGTTTAATTTTGAAATATGTAAATTGAAATTTGTCAGTGAGTGTCAGTGAGTTTGTAAAGGAAAGGTACTATAAAATCAGAGTGTGATAATTTTTTAATATTTATGTAAGAAAATAAGAAAAATTATAAATTAATAAATAAATATCTAGAACATGTAGATATGTAGTTATAAAATGAGAGTAAAATTAAGAAATTTTGTGATTTTTTGTTTTATTTTTAAAGATGCTAAGTGCAGGATCATTGAGGCAGGCTTTTGCCGAGATATAACGTCATAACGTACAAGCAGAAATATATTTATCATTGACGAGCTATGTGTCATTTCCGATGACGGCGGGATTGTCCGCGATTACTTCCGATTATCTAACTGCTTATCATATTTACATAAACAATTACGAATTCATTCTGCTGCATTTGTTGATCAACTAAATAATGTCCGCAAAAAAAAACGGCTAAGAACCTTGAAGAACGTTGAATGCCGAATAAGATACTTTGATGACCTGGAAAAATTTAAACGATGATTCAAATCAAAATACAATTATTATAATTAAAAATATTTTAAATATTATGAATATCTCATCGTAACATCATCTCATTAACCTTCATAAATGATTCATTGGATAAGGTAACTATGTGCCCACTAGTAATCACAATTGGTTTTTTAGATCGTATAATTATCACCAAAAGGCTCTTCATTAACTCATTGGGAAGCATCGTCCAGTCCATTTCGTAAACGGCGTTTCCGACTTCAGTGCTCTGCGTATTTAAAAATAAGTAATTAGTTATAAAAAAATGTTTATTAAACCGATCAAATATTGATATAGATATTCCTCCCAAGGAAGATAATAAGGCTTTAAGAGGACTTTATAAAGAGTATTTTCACCCACTTTCAGTGTCACTTCGTTACTGAACCAGCAATACAAGAAAATCTGCCCAAGCATGCAACCAAGATACGTCGAGATCCACACGAATTCGGCGCTCAACAAGTTCTTCATTAACATTTTGTAGATGGTAAGACAAAGCACTATCGAGCTGACGGTGAATTGCATGAAAATCATTACCGTGAACACCGTATTTACACGCTCCGCAAGTCTGCATCATTACAATTATTCTTTCAATATACTGTGTATCCTTGTTTTTTTTTTTTCACGCACGATTCATTTATTCTTATCTTCACCTATACACGTAGCGATGATGATAGATGAATTCGCGAATGAGTTGTCGTTCCTTAGCCTTAATCTC